ACTCACTTTTCTTTTTTTGGGTCAGGATCACGACAATTATAACACCATGAAGTTTCAGATTTAAGTAGCCACCTGTTGGCTACGTCTACACTGCTTCCTTCTTGTGCAAAAATGATTTACATTTTTCAAAATCTCATGACCATGAAGTTGACCAGAATGGGCCATGAATTTGGCAGGATCTATATATACGCTTTTCATGACATTAATTTCATGACTAATTTTCATAAAATCACAATTCAGAAGTGATATGGACAGAACCCCCAAGTCTTCTCATATGGCAAGTAATTGCCCATTCATAATCTACACACTGCACTCTGTCTCTGATGCTCTTTAACTACATATATAGTGGGAATGATGCAAAAATGAGAAGTGCAACTGGGTTGGGCATGGAAGAGATGAGGAAGAAATAGTTGGTGAATTGCAGTTGTTGATGTACTACTATTGTGCCCTGCTCTCTGTTCCTCCTGTCAGGATGAACTGACTCCTCTGGGACCTATGAGGCTGCAGGGGGCAGTAGGTGCCCATATACTAGCTCAGAAACTACAGCTGTCCTAGAGGTGATTCTTTAGAAAAATCAAACTAATGAATTGACATGACATGTTATACAAGTATTGCGAAAACATAGAAAAGCACTTTATCAGAAGTAGATATAACACATTGTTTGGTGGTTTATTTTCATATTACATTTCTCAGTAAAAATCAGGTTTTTATACAGATTTCATATTATAGTCACCTTTATTCTCATGCACAAGTTTTTAATTGCTATTGTTTGAAGCCTTTAATCATTTATGATACTTAATATCTCCTTCTTTACTCCTATTTTAGATAATAGAGTAGGAAAATACTTCAACTGCATTCTCTTTTCTGTTATGCTGATTGCATAATCATTCCAATGGGGTTGTGTTTCCATTTCTTGTTAGTTAACATTGTATATGTGGGGCGAGTATGCCTTATCTTTATGTAAATCTACATAGCAAGGTATCTGTTATGGGTATATGGTCCTGCTGCTTGTGGTTATTTTTACTCTTGCTTCCACTACCTATCATGCTGGTACGTCTTGTTTTAATGTTTTTAGCATCACTCTCTTAGGCTACATCTACACTGTGTACCTTAGAGCAGCACAGCTGTGCAATTACAGCCATACCATTGCTTCAGAGGGGTAGCCAAGTTAGTCTGTAATAGGAGAAACTTAAAAAAATAGTATGGTAGCACTTTAAAGACTAACAAAACATATAGATGGTATCATGAGCATAGCCCACTTCTTCAGATGACCACCATACCATTGTAAGGTATGCAACACAGTCCTTTGCTGGCAGGACAGAGCTCTCCTGCTGGCAAAAGAAAACCACCTCAATGAGGGACAGTAGCTTTGGTGGTAGGAGATGCTCTCCTGCTGACAGAGTGCTGGCCATAGTGGAACTTTCTGTAATTAAGATTATTTTTTTTGTCAGTTGGCATGTGTATGTTTCACACCCCTGACTAGCAGAAGTTTTATTGACAAAAGCGCAGTGCAGCCTGAATATCTAGGATCCTAACATAGCCTTAGCTGCAGGCTGGGTGCGAGAAGTGGGTGTGACAGACAGCAACTGAAGCTCTGATTTTTTTTTTGCAGAAAGATTCTGGCTGACTTACAAATGTTTCCTGTGCATAGGTAACAGGTGGTGCCATAACCCATGCCACAGACTGATCACACTCACTCACCCTAACTAGAAGTGACAACTCTGTTTCACAAATTCAGAAACTGTTTTCCTTCTGTATTTCCATAAAAACAGAATTGTATTGGAGGAAGGAGGTAGCATCAGTCTCCCTCTAGCTTGGTGCTTAAAGTACTGGTCTGGACTGTATGGCTATGGCTATATCTAGACTACAAGCCTCTTTCGAAAGACAGCATCTGGAGTACAAGCAGATTTTTCGAAAAAGCGAGCCACTTTTTTGAATTAGAGTCTAGACGCTCTTTTGAAAAAGCAGTTTGCCGTCAATAGTGTCTTTTTTAGAAACAGTACTTTCAAAAAAAGGCATTATTCCTTGTAAAATGAGGTTTACCATGATCAAAAAAACTGCTGTGTTTTTTATTTAGTTTCAAAAGAATGCAGCTGCAGTCTAGAGGCAGGTAAAGGTTTTTTGAAAAAAGGCTACTTATTTCCAAAAAACTCTGTAGTCTAGACACACCCTATGAGACCCTCACCCCCAATTACCTGCTGTGCTTGATTTAGAGCAAGGACCTGAACCTCCCCCACATCCCAGCTATGTAACCTAATCCACCCACCTGTAGATTCTCTGCCCAGGACCCAAAAACTTTTCAAATAAAAATTTAATGCAAACAAACACATTGCTATTAAAATTTTAATCTTAGTCAAAACAGTGTATTTTGCCAAACCATTTCAACCAACATCACTTCAGTTATTCCTAATATTACATGGTTTAATACAAATTATCTGCCAACCGCATCTGATTCTTTCTTCTCTTACACCTGATGCAGCCCCAGGACCACTACATTCAGGGATTGCTTTATTCCATGCAGCCAGCCATCCTTCAAGTTTTCCTATATAAACACTTCTCTTCTCTGGAATAACTTTCCTACCTGGGAGGATGATGCCCTCATATATTTTCAGTCTCTACATGGTGTTCCCAGCAACCAAGAGCTGCAGCATCTGCATCTAAAGCAGAATTCCAGGGACACTGATGACATCATCAGTATTTTTACAGTTTTGAAGAGCCATTCTCTTCTCCATTCCAATTACCTCTTCACCTTGACCTTGTTCCTCATCTTCTCCATCACCCTCCCCCTTCCTCTTTACCTTATCTCCATTCATTAAAAAACACTAACCACCTTCCTTACAAAATAAAACGAATGGGCATGCCATTTGGTGTTCCTGCAGTGTTCACTGGGGGTCGGCACCATATCCATTCTCCAGCGCTTAGTCCGATCTGTCAGGTTCATTCAGATTCTTGGGCCAGGCCCGGTTTGCTCTACGTGAACAGCATTTACTACAGTGGAGCTCGGCTTCTCAGCTGCTCCCTAACGCTAGGATCATACCGCCAGCCACAGAAGCTGCCTGCAGTGCTAGCTCCGCACTGGACACAGCACCTTGCCTCGTTCCCGGGGGCTAGGAAGAAATGCGGCGGGCAGGTACCCAGATCACGCTGCACCTACCCCACCGCGGGGGCCCACGCGTCCCGGATCTGCCCAAACCCCGCAGATCTACGCGCCCGAGAGAAGCCCATCAGCGGCCAGGCTCCCGCTCCCGATCGAACGCGAGTTGTGCTCCGCCAGGGGGGGTGAAGTGGGAAGCGCCGGCGCAGGCAGAAAAGGGCCCCAGCCAGCCCCACGTGACTCCACAGGGAAGTAGCTCCGACGCGGTCGTAACGTGAATTTATCCTTCCGCCACCCTGTGGCCGGGTCGCCGTTGGCACGCCGGGACGGCTCTTCCACTTCCCTCATCACGACCGCCGCGTTTTCCCGGGGTGCAGGAGCGAGCCGAGGAGCGGGCGGTGCCGCGGCCGGGGGGAGGGGGGG